AAAAAAAAAAAAAACTATAAAGATCAAACCAAAAAACAGGGTACTCAATTATATTAAAGAGTATTTCTCACATACTCAGTTGGCAAAGATTATAAAGCTTTATAATACTGGGTATTGAAAAAGCAGGCATTCTTGCTCAGAGTTCATGTATTTATGCAATAGATACTGAGCAACTTATGTGTTTCAGGCATATTCTGTGTAGGGCACCATGATAGTCACTACGAAAGTTTTGAGTCAGACTGTGTTATGGTCCATCATCCCAGAAACAGCAGCATCCTTTCTGATTCATCTGTGCAAGTTTCAACTTGCTCAGGTTATGGATGTTGCTGGGAGGGCTTCATTTGTGTTCCTCTGCACAGATTTTACATTTTTTGAGTTTTGTATATCTCAAAACATTAATAACCTACTGAGGACACAGCATTGAACATATGCCTTTAAGGAGCATATGTTCTAATGGGTGGAAGCAGATAGTAAAGAGTATAATTTGGGGAGAATGAGTGAAATATAGTGAAGAAAAAAGGGAAGGGATAAAGGATGCCTGAGGGAGAACCCCCTGGGCAGACCAGAGGAGGGTGAAGCATGGTGGAGGGAGTGAGCCACGTGGCTCTGTCCATATCCAGAAGATCATTCCAGGCAAGGGAAGAAGAGCAGAGGCTCAGGAGCAGCAGACTGTTCAGAGTGGCCAGGGCCTTGTGGCTGAAGGGGGAGCAGGGGAGCAGGTAGGGTGGAAGAGCTTGCTCTCCGTCCGAGGTAAGGACTTTGACTTTTATCCCAAATGTGTCACAGGAAACTACTGGGCAATTTCAAATCAAAGACTGATGTGCTCCAACCTATGTTATGAAAGTATCCCTTTGATGACTGGTGAACAGCCTGCGTGGGGCCTGGGTAGAGGTGGAGGGGCCGTTCAGTGCACTGGCTCAGGCCACAGAGTGCTTTGGACTAGAGTGATCGCAGTGGAAAGAGCAGGAAGAGATTTGATGCAGATTTGATAATTCAACAGTTTAAGTGTTGAATAAATAAGGGTTAACTGATGAGTTGGTTGTACAGTGTTAGGAAAAACTCCTTTAAGATTTGCTTCCTGAGCAATTGAGTTAAGGTGCTATTTGTGAGATGGGGCGATTTTAATTGCCTCTTATATACACTGCTGCCAGAGAAGTTATTCCTGTCCTGGGGTTTTGTAGATGACTGACCACATGGCATCCAACACTGAACAGATGAGACAGACAGCAGTTTATTAATCACATGTACTCACGCCCTGGGGAGGACTTAGCACCCTACATGGGACCACACAGGGTTGCACTTGGCTGTGAGATGCAGGTTTTGTGGTATCAAGAGGGTGGGGTGACCCCTGCTTCCCACAGGAAGATGTGATTGGCTTGTTGAGTAATTCCACCAGCTGGCAGGAACTGAAACCCACTACTCAACAGGTAAGCAGGAACAGCTCCTGCCTCTTTTAATTAGGAGGTTGGTTTGGTTGGAGGACCTTATCCATGGCAGCAGAGTGGGGATGGGAACCTGCAGTTACGCCATTCAAGGGCCTTCCAATTTCACCAGACGTAAAGGGGACACACACTCGCAGGCCTTAATCTTAGCCCTCACACCACAAGGGCACAATGAGAAGAGTGGGAAACTGAGAACTCAGTTCTGTTTCAGACATAATGAATTTGAGATGCCCATTAAATGTTTGAAAGATGTCAAAATAGAAAGTTGGGAGGAAAACCCACAATTCAGAGGTCTGGGATAGAGTTATAAATGTGGGAGTCATCAGAATTGCAAGTGATATTTAAAACTGTGAGACTAGATGGGATCTCTTGGAAATTGGTCTAGGTAGAAACGAGGCCTTCAGGCCAGGCACAGTGGCTGACACCTATAATCTCACCATTGCAGGAGGCCAAGGCAGGAGGATTGCTTGAGGTCAGGAGTTCAAGACCCGCCACCTCTGGTATATGGGGCTGACGCCCTACCCCTTTGAGCCACCCTTTTCTAAATACTTTTTCTGCATCTATGAGCAGCTCACATGATTTTTTCTTTTTTAGTCAGTTAATTTGGTAAATCGCATTGACTTAGTTCACATGTTAAACCAACTCTACTTTTGTAAGATAAACCTCACTTCATCATGATTTATTTATTCTTTTTATATATTGCTGAATTTGATTTGCTGCAAGTTTGTTAAAGATTTTTATATCTGTGTTCATAACGAGTGTTTTAGAGCTTTTTGTCTTGTGACTTCTTTATCTGATTTTGGTATCATAGCAATGCTGGCATCAGAATAAGTTATGAAGTATTCTCTTCTATTTTTATTTTCTAGAAGCATTTGTATGGAACTGGTACTGTATATTCCATAAGTGTTTAGTAGTGAAGTTAATCTGGGGCTGGATTGAGAAGGCTTTCTTTGTGAGAAGGATTGTAACTACAAATTTAATTTCTTTCATATATATGGAGCTATTCAGTTTATTTCTTATTAAGAAAGCCTTTCTCTTCAAAAGACACTTATGAAAATGAAAAGTCAAACCACAGGCTGGAAAAATATTTGCAGAACATATATCTGACAAAGGACTTACATCTGTATGAAGAATTCTCAAAACTCAAAAAAGCAAACAACCTGATTAAAAATGGGCAAAAATTTTGAATAGACACTTCTCAGGAAGAGTACAAATAAGCACATGAAAGGTGCTCAATCTCATTACTTTCTTAAGAAAATGTAAATTAAAACCAGAAGGAAATAACCACTGCACACCCATCAGAATTGCTAAAATTTCTAAAAACTGATCATAGTAAGTAGTGTTGGCAAAGATTTGGAGCAACTGGTCTTCCCACTGCTGGTGGTAATGTTAAATGGTACAGTCATTTTAGAGAACAGTTTGGTAGTTTCTTCTTTTTTTTTTTAATTGTGAAAGAGTCACAATTAAAACTTTGTCACCCTCAGTGAAGTGCTGTGGCATCACAGCTCATAGCAACCCAAAACTCTTGGGCTTCACAGCTCACAGCAACCTAAAACTCTTGGGCTTAAGCAATTCTCTTGCCTTAGCCTCCCAAATAGCTGGAACTACAGGCCCACCACAAAGCCTGGCTGTTTTCTTGTTGCAGTTGTCATTGTTGTTCAGCTGGCCTTGAGCCTCAGTGTATGTGGCTGGCGTCCTACCCACTGAGCTATGGGTACTGAGCCTGGTAGTTTCTTAAAAGGAAAATTATACTCACCTGATGATCCAGCCATTCTACTACTAGGTGTATACACCAAAAATTAAAGCATGTTTTCACACAAAGACTTGTACACAAATATTCATGGCAAATTTATTATATTTGGAATACCAAACAAAAGGGGGAGAGAACAACACAAATGGCTATCAACAGGCAGATAAATTGTGGCATATCAATACAATGAAATACTTCTTAGCTTTAAGTAAGTAACAAAGTACTGGAATAAGCAAAAATAGCCCTATTTAAAAGTAGGATTTGGGGGAGAATATACGAAGCATATCTTTTTTTTTTTTTTTTTTTTAGAGACAAGAGTCTCACCTTTTCATTATCAGTTGAGTGCTATGACATCACAGCTCACAGCAACCTCCAGCTCTTGGGCTTAGGCAATTCTCTTGCCTCAGCCTACCGAGTAGCTGGGACTACAAGGCACCTGCCACAACGCCCAGCTATTTTTTTGTTGCAGTTTGGCCGGGGCTGGGTTTGAACCTGCCACCCTCTGTACATGGGGCCGGTGCCCTACCCACTGAGCTATAGGCACTGCCCAAAACATATTTTTTAAAACATAAAAAATTGCTTTCTAAAGACTTTAACTGGAAAATGTCTTTTGAATATGAATGTTATGTAATCAACATTAAGATTTGAAGTGAGTTGAAGTTGTTGACCGAGTGTGGTAGCTCATGCCTATAATCCTAACACTCTGTCTGGGAGGTTGAAGTGGGAGAACTGCTTAAGCTCAGGAGTTTGAAACCAGCCTGAATAAGAGCAAGATCTCCAATTCTACTAAAAATAGAAAAAATAGCTTGTTGTGGAAGCTCACGCCTATAGTCCCAGCTACTCAGGAGGCTGAACAAGAGGATCACTTAAGTGCATGAGTCAGAGGTTGTTGTGAGCTAGGATGACACCATGGCTCTC